GAAGAGTCAGGAATTGAGCTGAAAAGCAAGTTTCAGATTACTCCGAGCAAGATATTAAATCAGTTCAGGGGAATCCGTAACCTCAGCAGAAGTGGTTTCCAGTTTTTGAGGTTTGTTTGTTTTCATACTTTATATAATGAACAGTGAAGGCTGTATTGTTTAGTTTTCTGTATTTTTGGCCGTGGACTGAAATGGAAAAAAAGGAGTGCTTTAAAACTAAAGAGACTGTGAGTGGAATTGCTGCATCTTTAATACAAGTCCCTGAAACTCATTGTCTGCAGGTGTTTATTACTGCTGTTTTGTTCAAGCAGTAGGGGAAGAAATTTAAAATTGAATTTTCTAATCAACCTGTTCAGCGATGTTATAGCACATCTCTGAAGAAGGTGGGAGTTGAACCCAGGTTTCCTGGTCCAGAGGGACGCTACCACTGCCCACAAAAAAAACTGTACTTGAGTTAGAATTGCTAATTGAACCATTTGTGCTTTCATTTATCCCACCTCGAACACCTCCTTCCTCCCCGTTAATTCACTTCATAGTATGATTGGATCGAGGGGTCTTGAGACACAGTGGTTGTGTCCCTACCTCTGGACCAGGAGGCCCGGGTTCAAGTCTCACCTGCTCCAGAGGTATGGCGTTACATCTCTGAACAGGTTGAGACATATATACACATGAAAAACCGAATCTACTGGAGGACTATTTGGTGCAGTGGTAGTGTTTTTACAGTGATCCAGACCCTCCGGGTTCAAGGCCTGCTTAATCTAGAGATGTATCATAACACATCTGAGCAGTTTGATGAAGAAAGACCTAAAATGGAATCCAACATTGGACAGAGTATAATTTATCCGGTGAAATTATTATGACTGTATCGTTGAAATTGACTGCAGTGAATTGACAAGTTGTGTACGGTCAGAAATAGGGGAATAATCATCTTGTAAACACATTATATCCACAAGTGCTCTTACACACAACCAAATCACCAGGACTTTTCTTCCATCTACTGACCACCACCAGTATATCGCCCGCGTAACCAATTAAATATTTACGTGCAAAGACATACAGAGGCAATACAAACCATCTGAGGTAGGGAGAACGGGAAAGGGCAAAATTAAAATGGAGTTGGAGGGGGATATAGAGCACTGTATACCCCCGTGGTGCCCACCTCTTTCTAAAGGCATCGAAAGCATTGATGGACACTGTGCTCACTGTCCAAGGACACCCGGGCACAAACGTAAATGCGGAAGTGGGGAGCAGGCAGTCAGTAGATACAATCCCCTCCATGTCCCACTGCCAGGCCCTGTTTATAGCCAGCCTGGCCAGGCCCCGCAGCTCCGATCTACTCTCACACCTCCGCACCAGGTGCCCAAACGTCACGGGCGCGGGACTGAAGGGCAGCCAAAAAACACAACAGAATGTTTTTCAAATAACTAAAAAGGGAGTGAAAAACGCCCACA